ACGTTAGGAGCGGTGAACTTGATCATCCAAATGGGCCCCGTAGAGTTCGAGGCAAAATTCCAGGTGTTGGATATCAACACCAGCTATAACCTCCTTTTGGGAAGGCCATTCATTCATATGGCTGGAGCCATCCCCTCCACTCTTCACCAAGTGATGAAACTAGTATGGAGAAATGAAGAACTAGTTATTCACGGGGAAAGGAGCCATTCAGGTAAGCAGGTGCCGATTTTGGACGAGACGCCGCAAACTTCGGATTTCTACACAGTGGAGTTGGTAAATGCCACCGATGAGGGCTTGGCACCACAGACTCCCATGCCGGCCGTGTACAAAATGATTGCCACGGTAATGCTGCAGAGCGGATTCGAACCAGGTTCCGGACTAGGAAGGAATGCCCAAGGGATTATCAAGCCAGTTCCCGTCCTTGCTCAGGGATCAAAGTATGGTTTGGGGTACATCCCCACAGATAATGATATGAAGATGAAGAGGAGAAGGGATCAAGAGTTGACTAAGCCGATCCCGCATCTCTATCACTTCTTTCCAGTTCGGGAGCATGCCGAGCCTGAAGACGACGGGGAAAGAATCTATGACCTGTTCAAGGAGATCAATGCCGTAATAGAGGAGGAGGCTGAGCCAACTGGCTTTCGTGATGCCGAACCAGGGGAGATGCTGAAAAATTGGACGTCCACACCAATCCTGATGTCCCGGACTTTTGGGTAGAAAGGAATTATTTTGTGCATGTCGAAATCGGTGGTCGTTTGGAAAAGGCCCGAGACCTACCATTTCTGCATTTTTTTATTTTGAATTTTGTTATGATTGTTTAAAGGGCGACATGGCCTTGTGCCATGACCCAAGTTTGCATTTTTGATTCAATTTAAATGAAGGCCTCCTTATTTTGACTTTGTTTATTCGATTGCTTGTTATATTTTACTTTTCTAATTTTGTCTGTTTATGATTTCAGTAACGTAAGTTACAAACCTGCCAATGTCATGTCATGTCATGAGCTAAACAAGCAGAATGAGGCAAATGATGACGAGGCTGATGACTACGACGAAGAAAGTGGGGAACCAGACTATGTGGTAGAAGAGTTTCGACAGTTCGAGAATCAACATAAACCGAATCTGGAGGAAACCGTGGCGGTAAATTTGGGAGATTCAGAATGTGTCAAAGAGGTTAAGATCAGCACTCACCTGAATGAAACTCAGAAGGAGAGCCTAGTTCATTTGCTTGCCAAATACAGCGATGTGTTTGTTTGGGAGGTCGGTGACATGCAAGGGTTGAGTACCGATGTCGTATCTCATAAGCTGCCTATCAACCCGGGGTTCGAACCAGTGAAGCAAAAGACTCGGAAATTCAAGCCCGAATTGAGTTTGAAGATTAAGAAGGAAATCACCAAGCAGATAGAGTCTCGATTGGTGGAAGTAACAGAATATCCAACCTGGTTGGCCAATGTCGTTCCGGTCGCCAAGAAAGATAGAAAAATCAGGATTTGTGTCGATTACAGAGATCTCAACAAGGCTAGTCCAATGGATAATTTCCCGTTGCCGAATATCCATATTTTGATTGACAACTGTGCCAAACATGAGATGCAGTCATTCATGGATTGTTACGCGGGTTATCACCAGATTTTGATGGACAAAGAAGACGCAGAAAAAACGGCCTTCATCACACATTGGGGGGTATATCACTACAGGGTAATGCCGTTTGGCCTCAAGAACGCCGGTGCTACTTACATGAGAGCCATGACGACTATCTTTCATGACATGATTCACAAGGAAATTAAAGTGTATGTGGACGATGTCATAATCGAATCCCGCGAGAGTTCGGATCATTTGACGCACCTGAGAAAATTCTTTGAGCGTTTGCGTCGGTACAACTTGAAGCTAAACCCCGCCAAATGTGCTTTTGGAGTCCCAGTTGGGAAGTTGTTGGGGTTTATAGTCAGCAGAAGGGGTATTGAGCTCGACCCTTCCAAGATTAAAGCAATTCAAGAGTTGCCTCCGTCGAAGACGAGAAAAGAAGTGATGAGTTTCTTGGGGAGGTTAAACTATATCAGCCGGTTTATAGCACAATCAACAGTGGTATGTGAGCCCATTTTCAAGTTGCTGAAGAAAGACGCCCCAACTAAGTGGACTGAGGAGTGCCAGACCGCTTTCGACGCTATCAAAAGCTACTTGTCTAATCCACCAGTATTGGTTCTTCCACGAGAAGGGAGTCCTTTGCTACAGTATTTGTCGATTTCAGATAGTGCATTTGGATGTGTACTGGGTCAACACGACGAGACAGGGAAGAAGGAAAAGGCTATCTACTACATCAGCAAGAAATTTACTCCGTACGAGTCTCGCTACACTTTGCTAGAGAGAACATGCTGTGCTCTGACGTGGCTTGCCCAGAAGTTGAGACACTATTTGTCGTCGTATACTACATATCTTGTCTCCAGAATGGATCCATTGAAGTATATTTTCCAGAAAGCGATGCCGACCGGGAAGTTAGCTAAATGGCAAATGTTGTTAAGTGAGTTTGACATCGTGTACGTGACTCAGAAGGCAATAAAGGCACAAGCTTTGGCTGATCATCTTGCGGAAAATCCCGTTGACGAAGAATATGAACCTCTCAAGACATATTTTCACGATGAAGAAGTGTCATTTGTGGGTGAAGATATCTCTGAAGCTTATCCAGGTTGGAGATTATTCTTTGATGGAGCGGCAAACCACCAGGGTAAAGGTGTTGGAGCAGTCTTGGTATCAGAATCTGGTCAACACTATCCTATGGCAGCCAAACTGCAATTCAACTGCACAAATAACATGGCTGAGTACGAAGCTTGCATTCTCGGTTTGAAAATGGCCGTTGAAATGAATGTTTACGAGTTACTGGTTATCGGAGATTCAGACCTCTTGATTCATCAGGTTCAAGGAGAATGGGCTGTGAAGAACCCGAAGATTGTACCTTACGTACAATATGTGCAAAATCTGTGTAAAAGGTTTCGCAAGATCGAGTTCAGACATACTCCAAGAATACAGAATGAATTAGCTGATGCTCTTTCCACCATCACTTCAATGATCAAACATCCGGATACTGATTACATCGACCCGTTGGATATAGACTTGAAGGAACATCCAGTCCATTGTTCACATGTTGAATCAGAACCAGATGGTTTTCCTTGGTATTTCGACATAAAAGGTACTTGGAGTCTGGGACATATCCGGAAGATGCCACATCTAATCAAAAGAAGTCGATACGTCGTATGGCTCTCAATTTCTTTTTGAATGGAGAAGTCCTTTACAGGAGGACTCCAGATTTGGGTCTTTTGAGATGCGTGGATGCTGCTGAAGCCATGAGGCTTATTGAACAGATACATGCTGGAGTTTGTGGTACACATATGAACGGGCTTACCTTGGCAAGAAAATTCCTTCGAGCCGGTTATTTCTGGATGACTATGGAGCATGACTGTTGCAAATTCGTGCAAAAATGCCACAAATGTCAAGTGCACGGCGATCTGATAAGGGTGCCACCTCACGAACTCAATGCTATGAGTTCACCTTGGCCATTTGTATCTTGGGGAATGGATGTCATCGGTCCTATAGTGCCGGCCGCTTCTAATGGACACAGATTCATTTTTGTTGCCATCGATTATTTCACCAAGTGGGTGGAGGCAGCTTCTTACAAATCGATAACCAAGAAAGTGGTGGCCGACTTTGTCCGCAACAATTCGATATGCAGATTTGGAGTTCCAGAATCCATCATTACTGATAACGGTGCAAATCTCAACAGTCATCTGATGAAAGAGATATGTGAACAGTTCAAGATTATTCACCGGAGGTCAACTGCTTATCGCCCTCAAATGAACGGAGCCGTAGAGGCTGCCAACAAGAATATCAAGAAGATTTTGAGGAAAATGATTGACAAACAGCGAGGTTGGCATGAAATGTTGCCATATGCTCTACTGGGTTATCGAACGACGGTCAGAACATCAACTGGGGCTACTCCATACTTGCTAGTATACGGAACAGAAGCAGTCGTACCTGTTGAAGTTGAGATACCGTCACTGAGGATCATCCAAGAAGCTGAGCTAAGTAATGTTGAGTGGGTTAGCAAACGGATTGATCAACTAGCTTTGATTGATGAGAAGAGGATGATCGCTGTTTGCCATGGCCAGTTGTATAGACAAAGAATGACTCGCGCTTTTCACAAAAGAGTAAGAACCAGAAATTTTGAAGTTGGTCAGTTGGTTCTTAAGCGTATTTTTCCTCATCAAGACGATTACAAAGTAAAGTTCGCACAAAACTGGCAAGGTCCTTACATGGTTCGCAAAGTACTATCTGAAGGTGCTTTAGTCTTGTCAGAGATGGATGGCGCTGTATGGCCCAAGCCTATCAACTCAGATGCTGTCAAGAGATACTACGCGTGAAGTTGCGCTTTGCATTTTTCTATCATTTGCTTGTAATCGTTTTGTTTGCTTGTATTTGTCAAATTTGAATTATTATCCCTTTTGTAACGAACTATGTCTGACCTGAATTCTCGAGAACGAGATACGTAGGCGGCCTATGTCGGCTTCGGTCATCCCATTTACCCCTTTAATCATTTCTTTGTATTTGAACTACGTTCGACCTGAATTCTCAAGAATGAGATACGTAGGCGGCCTTTGTCGGCCTCGGTCGGTTTCTTTGTAAAATTTATTCCTGTTAACCGTTAAGGGGAACTACGTTTGACCTGATTCCTGCCTCAACGGGATACGTAGGCGCCACAAGGGCTCGGTCATATATCTCGTAAGGTCTATTTCCCCCTTTCTACAATAGAAACTGGGACAGAATTTTTGAGAGGGACTCAAAAATTCTCCAGAAGAAGCCTCCTCTTCAGCAAGCCAGACAAAAGATATTTCGAATTTGCGACTGGGACAGAATTTTGAGAAGATCACAAAATTTCCGCGATTTGTTCGGTTACAATGGAAAGATGAGCAAGATACTAAACTGGGACAGATATTTTGAGGATGGCCTCCAAATTTCGTCATGGGACTTACCTACAAGTCCGGAATGCCTCTGAAATTCATTCGACAAGCGTCGGACTCAAAGAAGCTCGTTAAGCCTGACATGACATGATTTGGCAGTGACTTTTTCGAGATACTATTTCTTAAAAATTTCTTGTTTCTCTTAAAAATTTCCCTTTTATATTTCATCTGTTTTGGCATAAGATATTTTCTTATCTATCAAGAGTTAGGAAATTGGGAAATCAACCGGAGACGTCAAGACAAGGAGCAAACAACCGAAGGGATCGACACAGATCAGTATGTTTAAAACTGACAATTTTTCTGTGGATGCAGGTTTATAACTTCGCTTCGAAATTGGCCGAATTCTTCCGACTGATGAATACGGAGAAGGAGAAAACTATATCCAAAGCCAGTGATTTTATTGAAAGCAAGAAGCATTTCTTATCGTTTATGCAAAGATGCTTGTGAATGTGTTTGATTATTTCAAGCCATTCCCCAATACATGAGATTTACACAGTGCCTGGCCAGATTCAAAGGTGAATCAAAAAGGAATCTCAGCGAAGATTTCACGATTTCTATAGAAGACGCTATTTGCATTGCGTTATCAAAGCAAGATGATTATTGTCGATCAAGACAATGCATTACCTCAGAAGAGAAAACTATGAAATTATTATTTTTATCATTATCAATCAAGTCGATATATTATTTGGAGGTCGTCTTGCCGTTACTATCCACGGGGGTGATATAAATATTCATGCATCGCGGAATTTATACACAGAAAAACCATGCATCACGGAATCATGCATAGCGGAATCATGCATCGCGGAATCATGCATCGCAGAAATCATGCATCGCGAGTCAATAATTATGCATGACGAGAAGATTTCATGCCTCGTCAAAATTTATACATCGCGAGAAGAATTTATGCCTCGCTGAAAATCATGCATCGCGGAATCATGCATCGCGGAAATCATGCATCGCGAGTCAATAATTATGCATGACGAGAAGATTTCATGCCTCGTAAAAATTTATACATCGCGAGAAGAATTTATGCCTCGCTGAAAATCATGCATAGCGAAAATCATGCATCGCGGAAATCATGCATCGCGAGTCATTAATTATGCACGATGAGAAGATTTTATGCCTCGTCAAAACTTATGCATCGCGAGAAGACTTTATGCCTCGCTGAGAATTATGTACGACGAGAAGATTTCATGCCTCGTCAAAATTTATACATCGCGAGAAGAATTTATGCCTCGCTGAAAATCATGCATAGCGAAAATCATGCATCGCGGAAATCATGCATCGCGAGTCATTAATTATGCACGACGAGAAGATTTTATGCCTCGTCAAAATTGGTGCATCGCGAGAA